TCACTTGTTTTCTAACCGCTCAGCCGCGCACTGGAGTCAATTCGGTTGCCGGCAACGCTGCTGTAGCGGTTCACCTCCTAGGCACTGGAGACTACAACAGTTTGTACAAATTGGTGTACGTCGACATCAAGGATTCAAGCGCCCGCGATCAGGTTCGGTGCAAAGGGGCTGTTCCAAGACTGCTTGTTTGACTGCCTGTCCTGTGTCCCAGCTTCTTCGGTTCTCCTTGGAGGTTCTGAGCCATATCCACACGCAGTCGTGCATCGCCAGGACGGGGTCTCTCCCACCTAGACTACTGCATGTCGACAGCACAAGTGTCGCCACGCAGGAGGCAAGCCGGCAGAGCGGTGGGCATCAAGGCTAACCGCGGCCGAGTGAATGATTTGATTTTTTGAACCCCAGAAGGCGGGGACAGGCTGAAGTCCCGAACGCAGCAGGTCGCAACAGGCAGCAAGTTTGAAGGTCCATTTATATTAGTTGAAGCACATTCACACAGCCAGTGAGAGAGAGACAGAGAGAAGCGAGGGGCATATACGTTGGGGGTGCTTGTTGTACTTCAAGTATTTTTCCAGCGGGCGAGGATTCCATGGCCCCAGCAGCAAGTACAGAGCCCCAAAGAAGACGTGTGACTTTGGGCGTGCTGCACCTTTTCTTGTCTGGTGTAAAAATTGAAAGCGGGGCGAACGCCATTATAGTAAAGAATGGCTCAAAGGGAGGACAGCGAAATTTGGGCCCCGGCTTAGTATGATGTACTTGCGTAGTGGCGCAGTTTTCTGCTTTCAAGTTCGCTCTCCCCTTGTCGGGGCAGTATGCCCAGACGTCCTTTGTTGCCATTCAGTCCACTCCAAAAAAAGGGTTGGCACTTGCGCAACACTAAAGAACTCTCCTGAGGGGTGGAGCTGCATGCGGAGCAGGAACAGTCACTCACACCAACCCGGCCCCGGATGACCTTCCTGCAGTCAGACGGTTTGGTGCAAGAGCATGTCGGGGTGGGTCTGCATGCGTAGAGTGCAGATAGGGGGATGGCCGTTCCCACGCCCTGACACGGTGGAGACTGCAGGACGCATGGGGTTCGTTGTATGCGCAGCGCAGCCCATGTCCAAAATAGAATTTCGTACGTATACCTTGAAGGCTTTAAATAGATTTGAACCACTGCGATTTTTCTCTCGGTTCACCTGCCCCTGTGGCCCGAGCAGCCTGACCAGCTCATCATTCCCGGAGAGCGAGAGAGAGAGAGGCAGAGAGAGCGAGAACACAAGACTTCGGAGTCCAGGGCGCTTGCGAGCGCGGGGGGCAGTGCGTCCGTTGGCTGTGTGGAAGAAGAGAGCGAGTGAGGTCAAACCATGGCCTTGACGAAAGAAAGAAAGAGAGCGAGAGAGAGAGAGAGAGAAAGAGATCGGACAAGGGAACAGCAAGTTTCGTGCAGTGCTGTCGTACTATCCAGTACCTAGCCTTGGCCCGGGCCTCAGTTTCTGTCTTCCGTTCGCAGTTCCCAGGGGCACCCGCCTAACAGGGGCACACAATCTCTCGTACAGCCGAGCCAATCCATTGAAAATGATGGATGGGGCAGCGCACTCGCGCGGGACGGGCCGCCCCATGCCCTAAGCAAAGCAAAGCAAAACAGAGAGATCGGACACCAAGCCCAATGTAAGAAAGAAGTAAAGTTAGCAGAGAGGGGGAGCGAGAGAGACAGCGAGAGAGAACATGAACGGTAAAGGTTAAGTCAAGTCAGTTTTCTATGCTACTCCGCCACCGAAGGTTCTTAGCGACATCGATGACACCCTACTTTGCAGTGGCGGCAAGTTCCCGGCAGGTATCTTTGCAGTAGCTTTTGCAGTAGTCGGCCCACAACCTAAGACCCCTCGCGCTGCCACCGTGCACAGGTTGTGACGATCGGTGCCTGAGCCGCGATTCAAATGGTGCTTTGAATGTCTGCTCATGATGGTCATGAAAACTCGCAGAAAGTAGCTTTGTGGTTTACACAGACCTCTACATCGATGACCTGCAATCCCGGCATCATAGTGTTAGCCTGGTGCAGGATGTCAACTTGGTCGTTAAGAGCATGTTTGAGATGGTGGTAGCCACTCAGCCCGGCAGCACCGGGAAGGTTGCCCTTCTCTGGCTGTTACTCATAACCACGAGAGGCTATGGTGATCACTACGTCCACAAAACAACAACCACTACCGCCGTAACTACAACAGCCACAGCAACAACTAGAGTGGCAGCAGTGACGACACCCCACAGCCACAACGACGACAGCTACGTCGAGAACTTGCCGTCGCTGCCACACCAACGGTTAGACTGGCAACACAGGGCTACGGCGCCAGCATCAGCAGGGCATGTGGCAATTAGTGATGACGTGACAAAGCACGATTGCACGGCCTTGCATTCCTCAATTCAACGGAGCAAGAGTGATATAAGTCCGAGTAAATACAACTTTGGACAAAGGAGTGAAGACTGCAATGCAAAGGCTGGCCGAAGGTGTAGCAACATCCCAGGATACCTCAGCACATGGTCTACCCTGGCTGCGCGGCTTTGTTCAAAGCCCTGGACAGGCGAATGTTCTTGGGAAGACATTGTGGGAGTTTGGCTTTCTCTTGCAATGGGGAGGTGGAATGGTTGCGTCAGGTACATCGCGAACGGTATAGGGAAAGTCAATTTGATTGTGGTACGCGTACTACTTACTTCTGCTCCCACACCACTGCTCAACTCTGTTTTGGTTCGAGTTGCTGTGAATGTAGCGAGAGCTGCTTCTATCTGGTTCATGCTCGATCGTTTTCAAGACTTGTTTCAACGCAAACTCACCCCCACCAAGAGTCAATAAACCCCAGCCGAATCCTACAAACATCTAAATGTTTCAGCGTTTTTGTGTAGGACCGGTTGAGTTGCATAGCTCGAGTGTTGAGTTACAGGAGCAGCATCCAAAGACGCCTCGAAGCAGACTGCAAGAGGATGGAAGGACGTAGCCCGAGCCATTGTTCCAGCAACCCAAAAGGTGAGATGATAGTTGCACCTCCCCTTGGCCTGTTTCCAAAGCTTGAGGTTTCATTTTGAGCCTGTAATGCTTCAAGGATTGCAAGTTTCAAAAGCTATCCTGCCACAGGGACTGGTCACCAGATGTTGCCTCGTGCAACTTGGTCTTCCTCTCGGCGAGGCCACATCTTTACAAGGACATGGGCTAGCGCGTGAAGCAGTTGAAGCAACGGTGACAACCGAAAAGAATCCAGGGTACTGGTGGCTGTGCAACCACCATCCCCACGACATGCCTCCACAACAACAACCAACAGCATCATCACCATCATGAGGGTATCATCAAGAGCCGCTGCACAAGCAGCGACGCCTGCTGCTGCTACTACTACTACTACTACTACTACGACGACGACGATGACGACGACGACGAATAATAATAATAATAATATTACTACTCCAAAAAATACTTACACTACTGCTGCTACTACTGCTACGGCTATTGCTACTGCTGCTGCTGCTACTACTACTACTACTACTACTACTACTCCTCCTCCTCCTGCTGCTGCTGCTGCTGCTGCTGCTGCTGCTGCTGCCACCACCGCTACTGCTGCTACTAGCACGGCCATGACTGCGACGACGACGCTGCTACTAGAATATGCTACGACGACGACGACGGCTGTTGCTGGTGCTGCTGCTTGAAATCTGTACAGTACAGTCCTGGTGCCCCTTGGCCGTAGAATATTCAGCTGCTGTTTGCCCTAATGTCCGAAACCGCATGCATTGAAGCCAAATCACGGGATTGGAAACTCCGAAATAGACAGCTGCAGGACCTGGCTGAGAACAAGGTGGGCATCGACATTTCCGGACAGCATTACAACATGTGAAACGGACAGGCATGTTGTCACATCATCGTTGCAGTTACCATGAGGAAATTCGTGATGACGGCCACCATCCACACCCTGTTCATGATTGTCGGATCCGGTATTTTCAAATTTCAGATTTTACAGATTTTATCGAAAGGCATGAGCTAGCTTACATGTTCCCGTGCGCGAAAGCATTGGCCTTCGTGAGGAAGGAGTTTCGAGACTGACAAACAGATATAGGACATGTAGAGCATAGACATGCAGAGAAGCTAGATAGTCGACTAGATAGCTAGATATAAGAAGAGGGGTAGGTGCAAACATAGATGAAGTGAACAGTATAACGACTCGCAACAGCGTGATGATGATGAATCATCATTATCAAGGTCCGGAACTGTCCACACTATGCAGGGTCCACGGGCGTTTGCCATGATTTTTGGCATTGTGCTTGTGAGTGCTGCTTGGACAACTGACCGGTATTCTGAGAAGCTTCTGGCCGTGTCATGCCACCTGCCAGAGCTTCCACAAGTTCAAGGAGCTCTATTCGACAGGCAGGGCACAAATGACTGCGTACACTGATGCTCCCGGAGACGTTCTGTAAGTTCGACAGTGCCAGGGCAGCTGCACTGCGCCGGGTGCTCAATCGGACGGCTACGCTTGCGCGTCGTTATGTAAGCCGTGGTTCCTCCCTATCTCCCTGTAATCAGTCTGCTTTCTATTTCCGACAGCTCGAGCAGGCCGACAATAATCAGCAGTAGCCTGCTGAACGGCAGCAATCGGACTTACCAATACAGGCATGGCGACATCCTGAGACTCTATTTGTCGTTCACACCATGGCAGGACACTATAGACGAAATCTCAGAAACAAGGGCTGTTTTTTGTGTATGTCGTTCAATGTTTTGCCTACTCTGTTCGGAAACCATCATGCCTGGGGAGTGCTTCTTACGTTCTCCAACATCTCGCTAGACCGAACTGCCATCATTAAAGGCTTTGATGCCCTCCGCCCGCGTTGAGCACTGTTTAGGGTTCAAGGTCTCAATGTTGGTTTAAGGAAAAGTGGCCACAAGATACACAACTCATGGCTACAAAGTGGTGAACCAGCGTAGTGGAACATTGAAGATGGGAAGCGCCATTGGACTTCTAGACTACTAGTGCTGATTTTTCCCCGACATGTTTGTGCGCTCCTTGACCGCTCCAGCGCGCTTTCTGAAAATGGACAAGATGAGTCTTGGAGCCTTGGCCGCTCCAGCTCGACCCGATGCTTTTCTGTCTGGAGATGGACAAGATGAGTCTTGGAGCATGCTCGCCAATCTAAAGTCGCCTGAGCACCCGGACCTGGACCTCGAAGATGATGGCGCGCCGGATGAGTCGGATGAGACCTTTCCGACAGGCTCAGAAAAACTAAGTTCGCTCCCGGACCGGGGGGTGAGCAAATCCTCCGCACCCTCGAGTTCCACAGCCTTGGACGATGAGACGGACTTTAGTCTGTCCGTCACGACGGAAGAATCCGAGGCCGGCCAAGGCGACATCGACCCATGGTTTGACGAGTCGATGGAAGAGTGCGGGGGATCTGGTCTTCCTGAGGAGCCAGTGATGCGAAAAGTCAATTCAACCAACTCGTTCCGAAAGCTCGCGGTCCGTGCCCGCCGTGAGCGAATTCGTTCAGAGCGACGTGTGGTGGTCGTTGACTTCTTGAAGAGGAACAATTTCGCTGGAGTCAATGCACCGCGCTCCCGCTCGGGCTTCAGGTTGCTCTCGGAATCGGTGTACCCGCTCCATGTTGCAACGCAGCGGGGAGATTCTCAGGCTCACATGGTACAAGCCCTTCTTCGAGAAAGGGCGGATCCGTCGAAGAAGACCTCGACCGGTCGAACTGCGTTGGACATGGCTCAAGAATCGAACCAGTTTGGCTCTCACCGTATGGTGCTCGAGATCCTGTCCGGACGGTGGAACACCAAGAGCCTTCGCGACCTGAGGGCCACATCTTGCCGCTGTGCTGAGACTAACAGACGAACATAATCGGACAGATCTCTTGTACAGTGAGGGGACGGTCCTAGAATAAAAATGCTGCATGCCCGAGTTTTCCTGTCTTGCTACTTTACCGCAGGCTCGAACAAGGGAATACCGGACGAGCCCCGCGAGTGCTTCTTTCTGCGATTCGAAGCTCACGGCTGTCCATGGTGGTCATGTAGGACAGAGGATGACTTACGGCCTGAGGATTAACATAAAGTGTAGGTTCAGCACAGAAGTCGCAACCGCAAGAAACGCACCATGAAAGCATCGAGTGCGTAACCCTCGCGGTCACGACTCAGGCGAACAATCATGCAGAATGCTAATGGAACGCTGGCGAGTCTGCACAGAATAACGAATCGCCGTTCTACCTATATTATTGCATCTGAATTAGCACCTTCAGATCGTGTGATTCCTTTCGAAGAGCAGACGTCGCAGCATGCTTGTCGATGCCACTCTTCAGGACAAGTGCCGACAAGGGTTCCGCAAGCGAGACGCTTGCACCCTGACCCAGAAGCCTACAACTTACGAAATGGATTTTCGAGTATACTTGTCGGATCCTGTAGTGCTTCAACTTGGTTGGTATAGCAGTGATAAACTATCTGGGCAGTGAAGCAGATGGAGAACATCCTCCAGCGCACACCGGTGCGTCTCCTGCTTGTTTGCATACGGTCTCTCACTCGTCGAGAGTTTCAGGCTTCCTGGGGACCCCCTGGGCCTCGTAGATTCGCAGACATGAGAGTCGACAACGCGGCTACGCATTATGCATGTTGATCAAAGGGAGATAGGATGAAGGGAGCCTGATGTTTAAACTCCTTTATGGGTGTGCGCATTTGCTTTTCTCTGTGCATGCGCACTGCTCAGCTCCTCCAAAACGAAGTCTGAAGTTTATTCTTCTGATAGTCTCTTTGCACTTGGTAGCAGAGGAGCAAGGTCGGATTCGTTAAGCCGTCAAAGATGGCCGGAGCTGACAATTCACCAAACCAAGAGTGTGAGCGCAGCTATGTCCACTGTAGCTGTGCAGTGCCGGCACACGCATTCTGCATCGGGATCAGCTTCCTCATGATATCGCGTCTAAGTCACCATTACTACATGAAGGATGGCGGGTCTTGTCTCAGCTATATAAACTCTAGCCGGCACTCGGGCCGTCTTGCGGCATGGATACCCCTTCACTTTTCCAGGAGCCCTGCTCTTGTAAAGCTCGGTTCACAGATCCGGGTAGTCTCCGCCCACTGGGTTGCCTCCCAGGGACCTCCAGCAGTGCTTGCTGCACAGCCTCCGGACTAGTCTGGGATTTCTCGTTGCTTCTATGGCCGAAGAGCTGTGGTATTCTTCTTTCTAGGCATCGGCCTGCAGGTAGGCTAGGCTTATGCCGTTGCCGAGGCTGGCACTAAGCGTTGTGTGGTCTTCTAACATGTTTTTCTCAAGGTCTTTCGACAAGACCTGCTCGCGCTTTACATTGGCTAGCGCTCAGCCGCTGAAAGTCTGATCGCAGCTTAGACCCTCCCGCAAGTCATGCGGCGTGTAATCGTGTGTACAGGAAAACCAACATGACATGAGGCTTGAATCAGTTGATTGAAGCTGGCTGGGTGTTTGCCAGCCTTTGGGTGTGGTTGGGGTTTACGTTATTTTCGTTATTTTGGCTGCGTTTGTCATGGTTCTGTCCATGACCGTCTTATATTCCTTTCGTTTTCGGGGTGGGGGTTGCTCACAGGGCATGTCTGTGCATGGGGTAGTTACTGCTAGTTAGGTGGATTCGTGAAGTCACTCCCAAGTAAACCTCGTCCAACACGCGGCGGCACTTGCTTTCGCTGGGAGAGCGCCGCCATTGAAATCTCCGCCCGGAGGATGTTCAGCACACTCAACTAAAGCTGAGTAGTCCAGAGTCTATAACGAGCTTGTAATCCTTCGACTCCAGAATTGCCACAGCTTCATCGCCCAGGTTCCCTCTCTGCTGCCCGGCTCGTTAGCTCTAGGCCTGTTCGCTGTTGCCAAGGCCGGTATTCAAGCTTCTGAGAACTTTGTGTGAGACTTGCGCGACGGGTTTTTAGAAAGTAATGCGAAGAAGCTCAGCTCGAAGCTCGGGATTCAAAGAGGGGGGAGTCTTGGGGCTGGGTAAACTGTGCTTTGACCGCACATGCATTTCGGGTCTAGATCTTGCTTGGTATACTTTTGTTTTAGATTTTGTGCATAGTGGCTTACGGTGGAGTACGACAGGCGATGTTTTTGTTACTTTGTTTGTTTGCATCCACTAACCGCTAACCACTGCTGCTGCCGCATGCGCCCTTGTGGCGATTGCCGGGGGTAGTCTCTAATCTACGCTCGACCGGTAGACTGCCCAAATAGCATGGACAGTGCAGTATGCGCCACAGGCACTGTGATAGCACCTTTGTTAGTTTTCCAAGACCCCCATACTCGGACCCGATCGCGGAAGCTACCATCCAATACTACAACAGGATGCAAGAGCGACCCACGGATTGAAATCCATGGCTTGCAGTGTGTATTCCACTTTCACCATTCTTCCTAACTCAGAGTGACTCTAAAATTCCGATCGCCCCATCCCGAACCAGCATGCCAGATGTAAGAAAAAGTCCTATCAGGTCCTATCAACACCTGAAATCCCAACCAAAACCAGATTGGAGGCTTTTTTCATTTCAGCTCATGGCTGGCGGGATGTTGGAGAAAGGAAGGCCGAGTGCTACTGGAAATTCAAGGTTGTGCCCTCAGAGAACGGCTGGGTTTAGGTGAGACAGACGCAGAGCAAACATGTTCGCGAACTTTCCGCAAGTTGCTCGGCGGCTGTCTACTACAGATTCGAGTTGCTTCTAGCGTATAGGCGGCAGATCGACCCAAGTTGCCCTTCGAGGCACTCTACGAGGAGTACGACTTTGTCCTTTTCGGTGACAATGGGCAGGTCAAGCAGCCTCTGTGTTATCATTGAAAGTCTATGTGTGTAAGCGAGTGTGCACAGGTGTTTTAGTAGGAACTTCGCACGGCGCGACTTCCAATTTTATCTCGATAAGCTACATGTGCAGTCTTGACCGGCGAATGGTTCCAGGGCGACCTCCTCACGGGACAGCTCATCCGTCAGCAGGAGAGCGAGGACGGGAGGTTGTCAGCAAAAACCCGGACCCTCAATAGAAGTGCCCGTCAACCTCATCCTTCACGGTGTCATGCGAGGAGATAGAGTCCGGATGCGACGAAAGCTCGTCATGTTGCTCATCTTCGCAGGATTCTGGTTTGCACAGACAAGTGACTGCAACCAGAACCGGTGGTACGAGCGAAAGTTGTAATCTGTGGCATCAGCATCAGGATCAATAGCTTGCATGTTGTGGGGATGGTAGTGGTCGTCGTCGTCGTCGCAGCCTTAGGACTTCTGGCTTAGGGTTTTAGATGTAGAGGGCGTGCGGAGAGACGAGGCCACAAGAGAAAGTGAAACAGGGATGAACTGAACTGCGTGGAGGCAAAGATCGTGACATATGCTCAAGCTACAGAACTTTGTGCATGTATGGTGCAGCAGTCCGTGGTGTGGCTTCATGCGCAACCCGCCCTCTGGACGCTTGAGCGAACTCGCAATGCAAAGATGCCAGGATCCATAAACCACTTGATGATTCCCATGCCCATGTCTGTCAGGGTTGGCAGTTTAAAGACTTCGCCGTGACATTAAGATGCACCATCTAATGAGCGCCACTTGTCCGCACGTCATGCAGAGGTCGAGGCTCAAAGTTGGCAATTGGAACGCAGGTCCTGACCCTGCGAAAGGGGGGCACGTACGCGGTGAAGCGGTACTGGGTGAATGATCGCTCAATAATGGTATACTGCTATAGTATACACGCATCAACATCTTATACTTAATGTTATTGTCATATAGCCATGCAGACTTTTGCGGACACAGACAGACAGCTTAACAGACAGACACTCAGACACTCTTTCTCTTTGCCTCTGTGTCCAGCGGTGCTGTCAGGATTCACCAGAGCCGGAGGATGAACGGTGTAGTGCCGGCGATTGCTGGCCCTGGCCATTCTGGAAACCATCGTGCTTGCAAAGGCAGGTTCTGGGTGCATCGAGGAATAATCACGCACAGGTTCGGCTTGGGGTCGAGATCACGAGTCTGGAAAGCATGCCTCTCACACCAAGCACCAAGAAGTCTTTCAACTGTTGGCCTACGGCAGATTAATGACAGTACTCTGTTTTGATGTGCAAGACGCAGTCCAAGTCTCTCGGAGATGGCATTTGCGGTCCTGCCATTTTCTTGTCTCAGTTCTGTGAGTGGCGGTGGATGGGTGTTCGGAGTTCCAATGGTGATAGCGGTGGGCCTTCCGGTTGTCAACTTTTATCCTGCTTGAGAGCTCCCCGTGACTCAGCGGCACAGATCCGTGTCGTAGCTCGCTCCAGACTTTGTTTGAAAGCTTTACGTCCGGCTTTATGTCATACCGCCCTTGCAAAGGCCCAAGCAGACCTTCAGAGTTTGGTTGACGTCACCTCCAAAAACATGGTCCTTGCAGGCCGTGGAAGCGGCCCGTGTGCCCTTGGGCAGGCATGGGAATCGTGCAGCACCAGAGGGTTCCCATTCGGCCCTCATAAATCGTCACGTTGTCTCACAGGCCCGACCTAGCACCGGACTTTGGGGTACAACTCGTGAATTAAACTTCTGCTTACATAGCATGGGGGCAACGACCTTGGTTGCGATAAGCACGAATACGAATGATGGCGGTAGGGTAGCACTAGGATTCCTAGGATGCAGATTGGCAACCGGCAGTCAGCATGCAGACGATCATCATGTTCAGCCAGGCTGCAGGTCGTGAGCTTAGAGATTGAGGAGGCCTTGCCAATAGCCCGGTCGCCACCCTCTATCCCTACGAAAAATCCAAGACGCTACAAGCTTCAAAACCCTGTGAGCTCATTGATTACCATTTCAACCGACGCGAACGCCAGGCTCGCAGCTCCGTGCCGTCATGATCCACCAGGCGCACGGTGCAACATCAGTTCTTTCGTTATGTATACATATATATATATATATAACACAGACTGGGTTTGCTCGTGCAAAAGCCAGAAATCAAAATCAGCATGACGCCTATGCACACCTACTTTAGGCGGTCTGAGGGCGCGGCGAAGTTGCATGATGCACGCCGTGCGAAATGATTGCAAGGAATCCTGCCCGCTGCAGGCCACCACCCGAACCACTTTGTGTTACACTTCCCACCACTCTGAGAAAAGGATATCTCACGAGGCCGGAACCGTTGGCTGCCGCAGCCTAGCAGGGCAAGGTATAGAAGGGCCCTGCAGGGATCTTGGCATGGACGTTCGCTTCCGTCGGAATCGCGACAACCAAGTGCCGCTCCCACGCTTGTGCACAGGGCAACCAGGAAAGGCTCTCCGTACAAACTGCACTCGCAGTCTAACCTAGTGCGTCAGTGAATGGCCGCTTGCACCTTCGCGGTGGGAAGCGAGGGCTTGCAAGGGCTTTCTTCTTGATCGGAGACTCAGAGACTGAAGTCGCGAAAAAGAAACCTAGGGTTGAGCAGCACGCTTGTGCTCCACCCACTCGGCCGACGATGCCAGAACCATCATCACAACAGTGATCGTCGTGGTATGTACGTGTACGTATACGCTGCCGTCAAGGCCAGGAGCTTTGGCGGCTAGCCGCATTCTGGTGTTGGCTTCGTATTTCCACAGTTCGTTTCAGATATGCACCTCCTGGATGTACCTCCTGGGAACATTTCAACAGTTTTTTAACACCAGGGCAATTCAAGCTGGGAATGTTGGCATTGCTGTCATTGCACATGTTCATGACAGAGCTCGCATCTGCATCCTTAGCAAGTGGTTGCAAAGCTCGGATAGTTTTCAGCTCGTGCTGCCGGGCGTCCATGTCGTCCTTCAACCGACACTGCTGCTGATCCGTTTTGCTCCTCATGTGCAAACTCGTCCTCATCTGTGCATAAGAAGTAAATAGGGCCACCAAGAGCTTCAGGCGTAGTTTAGGACAATGCGTTGGCAGGATCGCAGGGTTGAGTGTTTGGCAGCCTTGCGCATTGGCATGCGGCAACTATCCTGTGCCACCAGATAATATCCTGGTAGATGATTTCATGCCCAACATCCTGTCGCAGTTGCTGCAAGTAGACATGTCAACGATTCTGTAATCCACCTCAGCCTCAAGCGGTGCCCTTCTAATCCAGGTGATTCCTCTGGAGGAGAGCATGGGTCTGGAGCCGGATAGGCACCGCCCGGAAAACTGGAGGTCGGAGCTTTGGGAACGCCTGCATGGCATAGACCCACGCTCGCGGAAAGCATGGAGACACTCCGTTAAAGCATAAACCCTTGCTGCCTGAGATTCCACGGCAAAAAAGATGTCCTGAGAGGCAGCAGTTGGCAGACAGTGGCATCTACATCTTCAGCTGCCGCTCGCCCAGACGTGCTGGGATCGGAAATTTAGACAATATCGACACATCGATAGCTCTTTGCAAGAACGTCAGGGATTGAGCCTGTTATAGCTGCGCCCCTGGATGGCACAGCCGAGAGAGAGAGAGAGAGAGAGAGAGAGAGAGAGAGCGAGAGAGAGAGAGAGAGAGACAGACAGAGAGAGAGAGAGGGAGAAAGAGATGCCTTGCCTGCTGTCTTTGCGGCATCGTTGCTCTACGGGGAAATCCCTGTCATTGGCCAGGCTATCCGGATGCCGCTCTCAAGCTTCACGACATTTCGCAAGACTTGATCTCTGCCCGTCACCGGGCCGAATTGGAGTAGCGCCTGGTGTCAGGGACTAGCCTAGCGAAAGGATGGTGCATGAGATGAATGCTTTGAGTAAACAAATACGGAAGGAGCTGAAGAGGTTGGAGAGTGCGTAACGCAGCAGGAAGAACATTCAGACTGTAACATAGAAGTGCTATACCGATGCTAGGGTATTGGCTTTGCTGCTGGCGGTGGTGCTTCTCGTCTCCGCCCTGGTTGAGTCGATGCAGGTCACATGCAACAAACAAGTGAAGTCTGGTGCGAACAGACTTGTAGCTCTTGTAACTTTGGAGCCATTCGATGGGGTCTGGTTTATAGTTATGTGGCTAGAGCGATGCCAACGGCTTCTGTCATTGCATCATGTTTCACCCACTTCCCGGACTCCCGAACAATGCGGAGCCTTTCTTGAGGACAGCTTCGCAAGGTGGCCGAGGACTGGAAGTTGAGCAACGGCGAGGTTTGTTTTGCCATGCCGCGCGGGCCATGCAGCCGCGCGAATCGACCAGCGCAGTTGGTTGTCGGACGCCTTGACTACCCATGCATGATAGTTGAGCAGTTTAGACTGCTACTGCTGCTAATGCTACGGAATACGGCTGTGTCCGTACGTAGAAGACGACCAACAAGCTGACGACGACGACGCCTGCTCCTGCTGCTGCTGCTGCTGCTTCTTTGTTTCATCGCCAGTTGCAATTCTGGCTTGACCTTTGTCTGCGACTTCATGGCGTCATGCTGCGGGCTTTCAAGTCGTCTTGAATTCGGGTTGACATATGGCATTGGGCTTACACGTTTTGGTTGGCCGTTGCATGTAAAGTTTGCAAGGATGCAATCGAAAAGTTCGACCACGCTAGGGTGTACGGCGCCCGGCTTTTCAGCTTCCCAGGGGAGTGTGGGCATTCGAATTAAGCCTGGATGACGCTTTCTAGGCGGTCAGGCTATCAGGGAGAGTTTCGGAGCTTGCGAAGTGTGTCATACAAAGGGCTACCTGGGCACATGTCTGGCAGAAGCCGCGGAGTTCAATTCAAGAAGATGCCCCAACTCAAATCTGCTGTTGCAAGCCTGGTGTGTTGCTTTCAGACACACCTCGGTCTACAACATGTTTATGTGCTGTGCAGTATAGGTGCCGCGCATGACTCTTCCACTGTAAAAGGTCATCCTATCTGTTGCTCATGGTCCAAGTACTAGCTCCACACCCGAAATCCGACTTTGTCCTATCTGGGCAGCTAGGCGGGCGGAGCTCGGCTGTGCCCTGCGATTTGGAAGCCCTAGCCCGACAGAAAACGCAAGCGTTCAGAGCGCTCGCCGCCGTCATCGCCCAGGCTCTACCCGGAGTGGGCCAACGATTGGTCACCAATCGAGCGCTCGCTGCGGCAATCGATTCGGCGCGGCGTGGCTGCTATTTTATTTTCTCTGACCCCACGACCTACACCACCATCGCCACCATTTGTCCTCAAGATCGGTCCAGGGTTTCTCGGTTATAGGATGCCCTCAGCGGCATACCGACACACACGAGGCCCACAGTCGAGTGGGCCGGCCCAAGCCACATTGGGCAGAGTCATGCTTAGTAGCAGCCTCCCAGCGTTTGGATCACCTCACGTCAGATAACCCCGCACTCTCATATTGACCATGCCTTTTTTTGCCATTCCGAGGGCCTCGCAGATTCGACAGGATTTGTTTTCGCACTCCCTCGTGTGGATGGACAACACTCCTCTTTATCGCAAGGTTTCCAGGGTTGCCAAACCAAGAGCCCTTTGGGGAAAGGGAAAGGTAGTACGCAAGCCGAGCCCGGCCTAGCGCAAAACTTTGAAGCACCTCTGACAGGTCCGTGCTGACAGGAGCTTGGACCTTGCACTTGCAAAAGAAAAGAATGCCAGTCGGTTCAAAATTGTCTTAATAAGATTGTCAGCTGAGGAGCCCCACCGCAGAATCCTTGGCGCTAGGTTTGGTCAGAGATTCGAGAGCTGCTGGATGTGGAAGTGCAACCCGCTCATCGCGGCATGCAAGTCCCGTACTTTCTCCTAGAATCGAATCGAAGCCCAGGCTTAAAACGTTGGTTGGCTTTATTTGGGTGGACTAGAACCAGTTCGAATTTGACAAACACCGATCTGGAATCACGCCTGAGGCATCGGATTTGTGGTGGCTTCTGAGGATGAACCATTGCATCACCACTTGAAGGCTTGGTGCCCTAGGGTACAGGTTGAGGGTGCGCACAGAGAGTGATGTCTGTCTGTGCACAGTACTCTTTTCAAGCACGCCAAGGCCCCGATTTACTGAATTTCCAGAAATCCCGTGTTGTAAAAGCCTGTGGATCCCAGACCTGGACCCCTTCAAGGTCTTAAACACACCCTGTAGCTTCCACCATACTGAGTGTAGTTGTCGTTGTCGTGGATGTTCTTAGTCTTCTTATCATTCTCTTTGCTGCTGCTAGTGTTGCTGTTGCTGTTGCTATTGACTATTATTGCTACGATTTGCATGTTTCATCTTACTGTTAGTCGTCTGGTTAGCCTTTTTCATTTTAGCAGTTGTTGTTACGTTCCGTAGTGTTATTCTTAGTAGTGGTAGTAGCTGTATTTGTTGTTTGTGCTGTTGTTGTTCTTGCTGTCGTGTTGGTGTTTGTTGTTATTGTTCTTGTTCTTGTTCTTGTTCTTGTTGTTGGTGTTGTTGGTGTTGTTGGTGCTGTTGGTGTTGTTGGTGTTGTTGTTGGTGTTGTTGGTGTTGGTGTTGGTGTTGGTGTTGGTGTTGGTGTTGGTGTTGGTGTTGGTGTTGGTGTTGGTGTTGGTGTTTGTTGGTGTTTGTTGGTGTTGGTGTTGTTGGGT